CCCTGTCATCGCTACAATTGGTCTGAACACGTTCGAAGAGGGTTCTGATAAAACTACGTTTGTGATCAACAGGGCAGTTGCTTCAGAAGTGGAGGATGGGTCTAGTGTGAATTGCCTTACAGTAGACCGTTGCCCTTATCTTCCCGTCTCTCAGTTTTGTAACCTGTACGTCAAAAAGGAACAACTAATTGTTGGCCTCTTCCTCTATGGTAAAATGAATGTCGGGAATGATTGAATGCAACAATGCCTTAAAAGTCGGCAAGTACCTCTTCTTGATGCCTATGGTATTGGCGGTGGGGCTGGGGGGAAGTACTCGTAGTAACATCATTATTAGTAATATCGACAAAAACGTCGGTAGTTATGCTGGAGTTTCATCACTTGGCGACCCTACACTAGAGCGCTAGTTAGTCCCCGCGTGAATTGGGACATATACGTATTCAAGACCCTAAATATTTCCCAACGCAATGGTAAGACACAGAAAGATATCTTCGTCTGTAATCCGTTGGACCTCTCCGAACCACCTGGCTGTGTTAATTGGGAAATAGTTCACCTGGATGTCCATGTAAGGTCCAGTTTAATGCCACATCAAGAGATCATGAGACGCTTGAGTTAGTGAAAGTAAAGATTCAAAGGTTCGGTAGACTGATCAATCAATCATAACTCTAAGCACCATCGGAGGTCAAAAGCATCAAAATGTCCATTCCCACATCGCAGATGATCCGCAGACGGATCTATCAGATGGAACATAGGCACTTCACTGAAGCGAAGTCCAGTAGTGCCTCGCCACCTGGTATTTTCCGTCGTCGTAAATAGGGTGTTTATTCATGCAGGAGGGAGCGCACACAGATCTGTTGGCTGCCTCGAGCAATCAAATTCCAAGTATGCGGCAGGGACCACAAGCAGGCAGCCACTTTCTATACATGTTAGCGTTTCATTTCCCGTATGCTCATCGGAGCCGTGATCGGCTGATCAAGCTGCCCCTCAGTTATCACAGCCTGGCCAGTTTCGACCAGGCGGGTGGCTACCTGTTCGTGACTTCTATCACACATTGGGAGCTTATTTGCATCGGGAAGCCAGTGCTTCGTTGTGCGCCCATTCGTGCAAACGTAAGGTTTATCTGTGCGGGGGTAGGGTAAGGGCAGCCAAGATGAGCAAAACAAAATCGAAGGTCTGCAGTTGTGGTAGCTCATTAAGCATTCGACTTGAAGTAAGCTGCATTATTTCAGACTAAAACACTGCACCAGTTTCCAAACCGGAACGCATGCGTCCTGAAACATCATCCACCTGTCGACCCTTTGAATTTGTATGGGCTGTTTCACCTGCTCATTTACCAGGAACACGTATTCTGGCTGTACAGCTAGTTAGTATTCATTTTTTATGGCAGCCACGTCGCCCAATCCCATTCTCCGCTGGCTAGCAGGCTCGAACAGCCGACAGGTGCATGGGAGAAGGAACAGTGAGAGAGAGAGAGAGAGAGAGAGAGAGAGTGAGGCCAACACCGGGGAATCCGCCCTCCCTGTGCATCGGCGCACTACCTACTGTAATAACTCTGACGCGTTTGAATCCATCACGACGCGCTTAAAGTCGTGGTTTTCAACTGTCTTGGGAATATTTTACAGTACAGACGGTTGGGCAACAATGGCCCCTTCCCAATACAGCTTTATAGCACTCGGCTGCGTCAAGTTCAAGTTGCCCTTATTGTAGTCAAGTACATGTTAAAGGTCTGTAAGCGTCTGCTATGCCATGATCAGCAAACCATGGTCCTCGCAGTCTGGTATGCGCTGGCAGTTCTCTGACGCCTGGTTCCTTGACGGTAGGTGCGCTTGCGCCTGCGCTGGGTATACAGGTGGTGGACGTGGCTGCCCAGTCATTTTCGTCCTTCTGATCACTGCTGGGGTGTTGCTGTTATTGGTAAAAATCCTGGTCATTTGTTCTGTGGACCGGGAGGTATGGGGTAAAGTGTCAAGGCGCGGGCACGGCCGCACCATCCACCCACGCCCTCTCCCTCCCCCCACTCTTTTTCCGACTTTGTCTTGACACCGGACCGGGAGATGGAGAGAGTGCAGTTGATGCTCCGCATGTCTACACTCACTGTAAACCAACTCACGCACAAGTCAGCGTTGGCAACGACGGTCAAACTGTCGG